GTGGGGTGTGGTTAATTTTAATTGATATTATAACAGTTAGAGAAACAAACTAATAGTAGATATTATTTATGATAGCAAATCGTTGCTGATGACCATGATGAAGATGTGAAACTTTTAATAATTGGCATATTACATGCTAAACGTATGCCTTCTGAAATACGAGAATCATACATCGGTGAATGTAGAAGAGAGATAGACCATCATCTTCTATTGACTATATTCTACTACTATTGCAGATAGAAAAACAGTACTCAATACATTCTTTGTCAAAATAGTTTTCAGTGCAACACAAAGAGTTTATCAACTTGAGGATATACTTGTGGTGAAGATCCCCACCCAATTACTAGGTATCCGAAAAGATATTTATATCTGACTGCAAAAACAAAAGCCTGCAACGAAAAGTGTCTAACATTGTGTGAAGAACTGTCATTATTTGCCATGATTAGCAGTTGATGGTTTTTAGTCTGAAATGCTCGTGAACCTACGCACTAGCAGTAGAAAAACGATTCGGAAAAAGAGAAAGATATAATAGCGGTGATGGATTTGTGTACCAAAAACGGGAAAGTAAGATCGAACAGAAAGTTTCTTCTTCTGGATTTTCATTCACCAGAGCTAGTATGAAAAGTGGCACCACTATTCATCTTAGCTCCATCTCTTTTTAAGCGGTACCATTTTCAAACAGCAACTAGAATGCACTTCTACAGTAAATATCTCAGTATAGTGTTCACAATGTAAACTTGTCTATTATTGGAAGAAAACGATTACATGTACAAGTAAAACAAAAAAATTCAAAGTTACTATTTTTGTTTTCTTTTTTTCTGGTCCATTTTGGAATCTGATCTTTTCTGTTGTTGATATTTGCACCATCCTTGATCACATGCTTGGCATCGTTTGGAATCATGTGGTCCACGACTAAATCTTTCATCTTTTGATTGATCGGAACAATCGTCACCATAGATTTCGACATTATAGAATTTCTTCAGTAACCAAATATGCAGCCAATAGAATGCCTGCTCAATACCCTCTTGATCCAAACAACCTGAACGATATGTTCCACATGTTTGACATCCTTGTTCAAAGATTTTCATTTGAACTTGACCAGATCCCCAGATAACTCCATTTGCATCCTTTTGTTCTGTATATCGAGCACGAAAAAGGAGCGTCGTGTATACCGAACACCAACCAGATTTATCTTTTAACTTTTTCTGATGAGCACATTTTGGGCAAAAAAACCTGAAAGACAAATAAATGTATAGCATGAAGATAATAACAATAAATGTATCGATCGGAATCTTCGTTTACTTTGATCGAGCATTATGAGATCGATAAAGCCATCCATCAGATTTTGCCCATTTGATATTTTTCTGATCAGTTTTCACATTTTCAGCATTTTTTCAAGTGTCCATTCGATGAGACCATAAATGTCAAAAGCTGGATAAAAAATTGATTGAAATTGTTTAAATGACATTGTAGTAATACAGAATACAATCCATTATGCATGTATTGTGTTTTATAGTCTAGTTGTAACTTAACATAATGGGAAAAAATCCATGCTGGTTAGAAAACTTTTCGTTCTGCTTGCTGATAAGTATGAGTCATAGGAATGACACATTATCGTTCTACACTTTTGTCAGTCAACAGAACATGACTATGATTGAAAAAAAACAGTCAATTCAATCGGATCATACATGGCACAACCACAACTACATGTTTAGATCAAGACTACAAATATTCGAGATGCTCTTTCATGAAAGTTTCGGCGATAATGCTCGATTTAAGCGAGTCATAAGGTTTTTACTTGAACTATTAGTGTATAGCACTAACAAAAGGAAATTAAGTATTTGTTTGAATGCAGCTGCATTATTTTGTCAACTTTATTCGAGCTTCGTCTTCAATGGAATAGTGCCTGTATAAATCAATACAATAAAAAGAGATGCAGGAAAACATACAAATGTTTACGATTGTCATTAAAAATATTTTGAAAGCTTCGCATATTATCAAATCAACTGCAAGATATGGATGCAACACACATTTATGCCGTATTTTGACTAGTTTCTTTAATAAATAGATGATGTCTTCAAAAGTAATAAGTTTGTTCTTTTCTCATTCGAAATAATTATTCAACGTACTTCACAGTCGGGTGCTATTTTATTTTCAGTCGACTTGCAAGATTGAAGAAAAATATTACTCATATTTGAAGGGTTTTTTCATTGCTTAGTTACTATTGACGATCGGAAAACTGAATGTATACAATGTCTGATTTTCAAACTGACTTCATATTTTTACATTTATATTTATAAACACAGAAGTTTTCTCCTTAATGTTGCCCGAGACTAGAAGATAGCAAAAATTTCACATTAACATTAAGGTTTTTGATATTTATGGAAATTATAACATAATCTAGAAAGTGTTGACTATTAAGAGTTTCTAGTCTAGAAATGAGCGTGAGATTTTGAGGTACGAAACTTTCTAGTTTACACCGAGTTTAAATTCTGAATTGGTAAGTAACTTTTCTTGACTAGTATCAATGCATTCAGTATGCTTCAAGACCATTTATTGTATAGGCGAAAGCGTATAGTAGAAATGGACAACTGACATTTATTGATTCGAAATTTCGAATTCGTTCTTTTCCAACGTTCAAACGATAAAAATAGGACAAAAAACGAGGAAACATACACTAATTTTAGTACTCTTATAAGTAATAAAAAGCCGGCAAACGGCCGGTGAAAACTGTCCATTTTGAAAAGTTCAGCTGCATCGGATCGCTAGTCCGCAAACCGGTCGATTTGACACTAATTCCAAACCAAATGTAGAACTTGGTGTGGGCACAAGTTTACATGAAGATGTAACTCTCCTCATAGACACCGAGATACTCCTATGTCCATCCATATGACACCATACCCACAACTACATTCTTGTACTCCATTCCAACACCCACATCCAACACTTGAACTTATTAGAAATGATGTCACTTGGATTCCCGTGCGAACCTGCCGAATTTTGTGAAACTATTATGAGATTCAACCTTCGATTTTGATAGTATTAGTAGAACACGGATTTCGATGAGTTTTTGTAGGAATGTATAAAATTCAGTTAAGGGTTGCTAATTTTCTGATCCTTTTATAAAATTTTCGTAGTATTTGTTCGGTCTTTTCGACCTTTCAACTAGATTATTGAGAAGGCATACTTACATGGATTGTACACAAAGCCATGAATTAGATTTAAATTCATGAGGAAGTTTGGTAGGGTACACATTCATATCTATATGCGTACCAGTTCAGTCACATGCAGTCCTTCATAAGCAAATACCCGCACATGAAGTTCAATAGACAGAAAGTAACTATGTGTGATGTGATGTTCTACTCTGACATGACCACTGAAAGAGTCTAATGCGCAATAATATGGATGTTCGATCAGGTTGAAGAACAGACCTTCAGAATTAAAGTACCCAATTAAGTAAGTAGTTTCTTAAAAACATGTAGTTGACTTTTTTCTATCATGACAGTTGTATTTTGAGAAAGAGTGCAGTTCGAAAAATCTCAGAGCTATTCGATAGTACTCTATGGTATTGATATTTGTTGAAAATCCAACGGTCAAAATTCGGTGAGCATGTAACATACCTAACACTGGTATTTGACAAAATTCGACCGTGGATAGTATTCAATCTTAACAATTTAAGCGATTCTATTGTTTCATTTTCATGAGATCGCGTCAACTACTCTTGGCTTTCAACAATATTTATAAAGATTTTCACATGATTTTTAAGAATTGTAATATTATCTGCTAAGATTGCACTATGACATTGATTCTTCAGTGCTTAACAATGATTATTTTATTTTTTCACTTTTCTAAGCGAGTTCCATCATGTAAAACTACAGATAGTATGACGGCTTGTTTGTTTCTTGTCGTTTGTATATAACAACCTACACTATTGGC